TTGAAAGCTTTGTCCAGACCGAGGGAAATTCCTCGGTCGGCCAGTTGGCTGACGTTCACTTGAATGAAAGGAAAAACGCGAGGAGCATGGAAGCTCCAATCGCCTGCATTTTTTGAGCTGAGTCCATGTTTGCCTTCTCCGTCGTCGTGGTCGTGGTGCAGGAGGAGTGACGTGCTTCGATCAAAAAGTCAAAGACCTTTTCGGCTGAGGTGCCTTCTTCCATCTGCGCTTCATAGGCATAGTCCCCTGTGGTGGGCCGTAAGAGGTAGAACCCCGTCTTCGCGCAATAGTTGACCACCAGGCAGGCCCGCGTGTGGAGATGTGCCTCACTCCGCACGTGCACTTTGTCAGGTGCCCATCCCGGCTGTCCGTTGAAGTTCTTCTGTTCCACCACAAAGTTCCTGTAGCACAAGCCGTCCATCAGCACGCCGGTGACAGTGGCGTCCACGGCCGTAGTGGCATCAAAGGTGCACCCCTGGAAATTGGAAGGCCTCGGAAAACTGACCATGGGAGCTAAGAGCGACATGTAACAACAAACACAAGCAAGATCCTAATTGGACGCTTTGGTAGGCTTTGGTATCGATATCGGATATCGGGATGTCGGATCTATATTTGTTTTGTTAACAAGACAAGACTCGCTGCAAAAGATGCCAAGAGACTTGGATGCTCTCGCAGCTTGGCAGTCGTAGTTATCACTGCACATGTTGGTGGCAGAAAGGCAAGTCCTCAGTTTGACAAGGATGGGTGGATATGGTGGGATGCCTTGGGTCTATCCTAGTACCAGGGCCCAGTGGATGATGATGGTTAGGTTGCAGGCTGGCATCTCTAAAATCGTGATGTCCTTGTTTAATGACTCTTACAGGTTTTCTGGGACAGACCTGCCAAGGATGCCACTAACAAAAACGTGCAACACCCCATTCCTTCTGGGCCTGTGTAGTCCCAGTAGTCTCAGTACTCTAAGCGAGTCCTTGTTTCAACGCATAGTGAGGGTTGGCCACCGAGTGGTATTTTAGGAAGCTTTTGTTGCTGTTGGGTGTGGCAAATGTGCAGTGCGGGGAAACGGACACAAACGACACCCTAGAAGTCCAGTCCGCCTAGCCCCCCCAAAAAACAAGAATTACTGTAAATAATCAACTAGATCCCCAGAGAGAAAGCTGTTTGCCAGATTTGCCAACATGGAATCAAGGCACCGGGAACAAAAAAAGAACAAAACACCTATTCTGCAGGCTTCGCACATTTACCCAGTTCGGTGTTCAAACATCCCCCGATCTGCAAATCCAGGCCTAGCTTCATTTGGCTGGTGGTGGGCAGATTGGCGCCTAAATCTTCGAGTTCGGTCACCCTGACCTCACTGCGACTGGCGCCAAGGAGAAAAA